GAGACATCACCTTGCCAACAAAGGTCCGCATAGTCAAAGCTATGGTTTTTCCAGTTGCGATGTATGGAAGTTATAGCTGGACCATAAAGAAGGCTGACCGCCAAAGAATTGATGCTTTTGAATTGTGGTGCTGGAGGAGAATCTTGAGAGTCTCATTGGACTGCAAAGAGAACAAACCTATTAATTCTGAAGGAAATCAACCCTGAGTGCTCACTGGAAGGACCGATCCTGAAGCTGAGGCTCCAATACTTTGGCCATCTCATGAGAAGAGAAGATTCCCTGGAAAAGACCCTGATGTTGGGAAAGTGTGAGGGCAAGAGGAGAAGGCGACAACAGAGGACGAGATGGTTGGACAGTGTCATTGAAGCTACCAACATGAATTTGACCCAACTCCGGAAGGTAGTGGAAGACAGGAGGGCCTGGCGTGCTCTAGTCAATGGGGTCACAAAGAGTCGGACACGACTTAATGACTAAACAACAACAAAATTGACCTGAATTTGTCACTATGGCTAATGTTCTTCACATAATTTAAAAAGTAAGGTGTTAACTGTGGGCCTTTACTATAACATTCAGATTGTTTCATCTTTGCAATTACAGAGTATATTGTCAAAGCTGTATTTTTGACAGAGATGGATTTTTGTTCATGGCAAGCTGCATGGCACACAGTTCATATTTTCTAAAACTTCAAACATTTGAAAACTCAGGGTTTTTTAATTTATCAAATTGTCTTCTGCGAACCCAGTATGACAATCCTTTGTTTTCCAGTTAATTATTGATACACCAACTAGTCCAGTGACAAGTGGACTCCCACTTTTCTTTGTCATCACTGTAACAGCTATAAAACAGGTAAGAGACTTGTCTATCAGAATCAAAGGTTCTATCATCTTTTCCCTGTTTTATTTGCTTAATGACATACTTTTTTTGGGTGACATTATTGGACTAATTTATTGCTCCTTTTTTGGTTTTCAAATAATGGTTTACATTTTTTTAATCTATTAAATCTCTGAATTAACTTGTCCCTGTTTTATTTGCTTAATGACATACTTGTTTTTGGTGACATTATTGGACCAATTTATTGCTCCTTTTTCGGTTTTGAAATAATGGTTTACATTTTTTTATCGATTAAATCTCTGAATTAACTTATTTCACTTATTATCCACTGTTCTTTCAAGCAATTTAGAATAACAAACTTAAAATTACTTATCCTTCTCTTAAAATATGCCAGTTAGAACAGGAGAGAAAAATTTGCCATCGCATCTGGAATTTGACTAACAGGAATGCATGAGGGTTAACCAGTGTTGCTCCACCTGATGTTTAGTGTGTTCAGAGAGATCTGCTTGGGGCTCTTTGATGAGAGAGCAATGAATATTGAAGACTTTTTGTTGCTGCTGTTGTGCTGACAGGCTTTTATTAGCATATGTTAGTTCCTGCCACAACTGGCCAAAAATATTTTGCTGCCTGAGGCAAACAATAAAATGGCTCCCCTCCCCATTGCATGTATGACAGCTGGCCATCTTTTTTTCAGTTCTGATAAACAGTCACTATCTTTCAGCCCATCTGTGTAGAACAGGTTTGTTTAGAGAGTTCATGACAAGCTGCATGGCACACAAAATGTCGACCTCCAACTTCCCAATAAGAAATTAAAAATCCACACATGTTAATGTACTATGTTTTAGAATCTGAATTGTCCAAAATGTTGGCTCGAAAGGATCAGTTTCAAAGAGATCGCCCATATAGGATTTAATAGGACAGATCTCTGCCCAGTGCTTCAGAAAACACTATGCTGTGCTAGCTGAAGCACATGTCATTTAATGGTCAGTTGAGCAATGGTACCTCCAGATGCTCAAGAGAAGCATTTTCTTTGAAGCAGTTCTTGTTCCTCCCATGCCTTCTTCCCCACCCTGCAACATAAGACTTTTGCATTTCACGTCTGCTAATTATGTTGTACAAATGTAATAGGTGGAACGATAATTGGGTCTTTGATTCCTTTTTTTTTCTTGAAATGTGGGATATTTAATTAGTTATTTCATTTAGGGCTATGAAGATTGGCTTCGCCACAAGGCTGACAATGCAATGAATCAGTGTCCTGTTCATTTTATTCGACATGGCAAACTGGTTAGAAAACAGAGCCGCAAATTAAGAGTAAGTGTTACATGTCAATAAATATGATTCTTGGGTGAACTTTTCTTGGTGTATATATGCAGGTTTTAGAACTTGTAGATAAATATTGTGTATAGACATACAGCGTAAGTTCAAGGAGGGGGTGAGCACTTCAGCGCTAGAAGTATTCAAGAGAAAGTTGGACAATTGGACAAGCTGCCTTAGGTCCTTTTGGGAAGAAAGGCGGGAGAGAAATATTTTTTTATAAATAAATTAAATAAAACCATCTGTTAGATCTGCTTTGATTTGGATTCCTGCATTGAACGGTGGCTTTACAGGCCCCTTCCAACTCAGTTACTCTGTGATTCTATGATATTTTGTACTGTAGTTCTTACAACTGTCGTATTGGCAAAAGACACAAAGTGCCATGTGTGCATTCATTTGTGTGTGCTCAGAGCATTCAGAATCCGATTGATAGAGACGCAGCGTGTATCTGGCCTCAGATTACGACACCTCCATATGAGTGTCCTGCACCCTTAGTGTAGAGTTTGAAGGGAACCTTAAGAGGCTGCTATGAAAAGGGGCAAACAGTCTGCTTCTGCCAGCTCTAAATGTGGATCTGTCATCTTGTGTTTGCCAGTAGGTGTTAGATTTTTTTTTACTTTAAAAAGTCAAGGCAATTTTTAAATTTTTTTATTTATTTATCTTAGCTCTCTGAATGTGAGATGGACAGCTAACAAACCTCTGAAATATACACCTTTGTCCTGTTTTTCAAAAAAATGTATATTTAAAATGTCCATATAAGAATTAATGCCTTTTATTTCTAGAGTGCAACATGTGGCAAATTTAACAATATACACCAGTCCCATAGTGGTGGGCCTAAACATTTTGATCCCTGAGGGTACAAAAGTCAAGGAGATTGAACACAGGGCTAAGTCAAAAAGTTAGCCCCAACTAGAGCTGACCTATTGAATGAATCTGATGGTAAATAAATACATTAACCAATATTTAGATAAAACCAGTCAATATAGTTGGACAAAATAAATAACCAGAAATAGATTGGATAGTAATAAGAGTGGTCCTCACCAACCAGATAGGCGGGGGATAAATCAATCAATCAATCAATCAATCAATCAATCAATCAATCAATCAATCAATCAATCAATCAATCAATAAAGCAACTTCAGGTTACAGAAATTGAGTCCATCAAAGTACTAAAAGGAACATGCTGACAAGTATGGAAAATAAAACAAAAGTCCAGGTACTAGAAATATTTGATATACATTCCACATGTGAAGAAAGGAGATACCAGAGATTGCAGTAACTATAGGACCATCACATTTCCCATGCAAGCAAAGTGATGCTCAAGATTTTACAGCAAAGACTTTTACCATACATTGAACTGTGGGCTTCCCCTCATCTTGCAGATCCCAACATTGAACAAGAAATGCCAAATGTTCAAGCTGGAGTCAGAAAAGAAAGAGGCACTAGAATTAAAATTTCAAATATATAATGGCTAATGGAGCATATCTAAGAATTTCAGTAGAAAATCAGTTTGTTCCTCATAGATTACAGCTAAAGCCTTTGATATGTGAATCATGCAAACTATAGCTAGTTCTGAAGGAAACGGATATGCCATGGCATTTGATTGTTCTGATATTGTAACCTGTATTCTACCAAGAAGTTGTTGGTGGGACAGAATATAGAGAGACAGAAAGGTGTTACAAAAGGTTTGTGTTGTCTTCCTGTCCCATCAATCTATGTGCAGAATGTACCATTTGGAAAAAAACAGTTCATCAAGTTTATAATTTATTGAAATTGTTAATAAGCTATTATATTGAGGTGTTTTGCAGTATAAAGAAACCATGGTAAAATGTGTTTTAAAAAACTAAACAGCTGCTTTTAAAAAGAAAAGATAGATTAAAAAGAACCATAGAAAATTATGTACACATTAGCAGTATACTTCTACTTAAATGAGAAATCTGAAGAAAAAGAAGAGAAGAAAAAAGCTTGATTAGATGGAGGAGTGAAAACTGCTGGAAGAAATATCAATAAGACATGCAGATGAAACCATATTACTGGCAGAAAACAGCAAATGACCTGATGTGATTTGTGATGAAGATGGGGTTGCAGGATTACAGCTGAACATTAAGAAGACAAAAATGATGGCTACAGAATGAACAATACAATATTGACAATGAACAAATAAAAACTGATAATGATTTTCTATTACTTGGTTCAGCCATCAATCGAAATGGAGTCTGGAAGATGAGTCACGGCAACTGGACTTCTTGTTAGGTTGAAATGTTTCGCTCCTCATCCAAGTAGCTTCTTCAGTCTGAGGAGAGTTGGTAGGAGACCCCTGACAAATCCTCGATGTTGGTTTCACTTCCCCCTGGTCTGAATAGGATCATTAGAAGGACAAAGGACTGAGGTGAGGGATAATCCCACTTCTGCAGTCCTTCTCCCATTGTCATGGATCATTGATGGTCAGTAACAGTGGTATTACTACCCTTAGATCCATCCTCAGAAAGTTTGGGACCACACACACCAGAAAGACCACTGTTAGTGACTCATGGCAATGGGTGGAGAAGGACTGCAGAAGTGGGATTATCCCCACTGTGCTTCCTGGGAGAAGAGCCAGTCTGTGTAGCCTTGGGCAACCTGCACAGTCCCATGGTGCCCCCACAAGAAAGGAATGGTAAACCACTTCTGAGTATTGTCTACCTGGAAAACCCTGATTAGGGTTGCCATAGGTCAGGATTGACTTAATGGCACATGATGATTATTGAGAGCTGAATTTAGCATGTAATAATACATGAATAATTGACAAATCTGCTAACCTTTAGAAGTATGCCAAAACCTGTCGCCTAAAACAGGCTACTTCATTCTATATGACTGCTCTTTTTCTAGGGAGCAACTGTGTTCTGTAATTTGAAACTTCCATCTCCTGCAGATATCGAGCTAAATAGCTTTTAAGAGTTCTAACTGTTCCCTGAAAAAAGTGATCTGACTCTGCACTGTCTCTTTCTCTTAATGATTCCCTGTCTTGAGAAACTCTTGTGGTTTTGTGATATACCAGTAAAGGGGTTTCTAGTCTTAGGACTGCAATAATTTGACAAATAATGTATATAGAACCACTTCTCCTGGGGGATCTTAAATGGTGTAAGAAGGATAATATTTCTAGATTTTTCTCTTTACTGGTCTAAGAGCAAGTTTCTAAAGCACTTGTGTGTTAAATGAGAGAAACGGGAGGCTGTAATACATTTAAAAAGTCACTTCTCTAATATTTGCATTTCTGTACACTGCTCCTTTCACCAACAAAAGCTTCATGTTTTGACGTCAGATGCTGTTATTCAGACAATATCATACTAGAAGCAGGTTTCTTACTTTTCCAAAGTGCCTTTTTTTTCTTGGCTGATTCCAGTGTCTTCCCTATGGAGGTTTTGTAGGATATGGGCAGGGAAGGAGAGGACAAAAATGAACTCATGGTCTGAGTGTGGCTCCTGAGGTATCCAGGATGTCACCATCCATTCACAAAGTGAATAGGAGTCTGTAGCCCTGGGAAACGCCAAGATTTATGGAGGTACAAAAAATATTTGGAAGAGAAACCCAGTGGGAGGAAGAGAACACCATCCAAACAGACTAATCAGGACTGAAAGTGCTTTGTGGACATGGAATGCTAACTGAATTTGGAGGGCAAGAAACCAGGAATGTGGGGGGCGGGCGGAATCTTCTAGAAGGAGGCATGGCTGTAGGTCTGGAACCAGTTCTTCAGCCAACAACGATTTGTCATTTCCTCTCCTTTTTCTTTCTTTCTTTCTTTGTAAAAAAAAAAGTAGAACAACTGCATGTAAACAGAAATTATCTTTGCCCTCAATTCCCAACTTGCATGTTCACTGTTATTGCTGCCATCATTGTCATCATCATCTGTTGATTGTTTTACAGCCTCTGTAAAACAATAAAAACAAGTAAAACAAATACCATACAGTATTTAGAATCAAATAAAACTAATTCAACCAAAAAAGCCATTTAAATCAACTGCATATACAGTTAAAAACATGAGGTTACAGTAGATTAGACATTGCATGATACTTGTACACAGTTCACAAGCAGAGCATCAGGGTAACCATCTCCTGCTGCTGAGGCCCTGCGTCTACGAGTAGTATTTAGACGTATATTATTTCTGAACACAGACGTTCTCTTTAATTGCCATTGCTAGGAAAAGAATAATCAGTCTGAATGCTACTTTGGAGTCTGACTTACCTTCATAATTTATGTTGGTTATACATTCTTAAACATTGATTTGTTAGCTAAATAGGTCAGTGAGAAACTTGTCATGTGATTCTTTCTCGTTCCTTGAGAGAGCGAGAATTCTGCAAATTGCTTTATTTCATAAAAGCATGAAAAATGACTGCATGTTTTGTGGAAATGTGTTCACATTTTTCTTCCTGTCCTAGTTTAAATCATAGTGTTTGTGGGTTTTTTTAAAAATCCCAAGCCTATTACTTACACTTGCCTTCATGGAGAGAACACTGTAACATCATTTGGGGGCAGGTGTGTGGTTTGTTTGAGTTTTCACTGAAAAGGGAGAGTTGTTAATATGTTTCTTATGTCTACAAAATCTGCATTAAGTGTAGATTAATTCTTGCCGCATGGGGATGTTTCTATATTTGTAGCATATAGTTGTCGTCAGTTCTCTTCTGTGCCTCAAGTTAGACCTGTTAGTCTTGGGAAAAGCTGGCAAGAGATTCCTTAAGTGTTTTAACTCAGAGGTCCTACTGTTTCCAGCGGAGCTTGCTACCATTTTATGTCTGGGTAGGACTGCAGCTGCAGACAGCTGCAAGGAAGATGGCAGTAGAAGCCATGTTCCCTTCTAGGCTAAGCTTTTTATGTTTCTTCTTGGAGTAATAATTCCCAACCCTCCCCCCCCCATGTTTTTTTAGGTTGGAGATATTGTGATGGTAAAAGAAGATGAAACCTTTCCTTGTGATTTAATATTTTTATCAAGTAGTCGAACAGATGGGACATGTTTTGTTACAACTGCAAGTCTGGACGGCGAGTCCAGTCACAAGGTAATAAATTTGATTAAATGTTACTATAAGGCCAAAGACAGGTGTGGAATACTTGTGTGACATTCCACAATGGCATGTTGTGAATGTAAGTATCTCTGTATTACTGTTACGAGGAACAGTTTTGAATCCTAACTCTCCCTTTTTTCTTTTCTTTTTTTGAGACACTGTGTTTATAAAAGATTAAGATAAAATTATCTTCAGTTTGTATGTTAATGAAGAGAAAATATGTAATGTTCCTATATGGAATGTCAACATTTGAATATTCTTGGAAATTAAGCTATTCAGCTATGTGGGATTTATGCAAGTATAAAACTGGCAATAGTGGTTTAATACAATAAAAAATGCTGCATTCAAGAAATGGAAAGGGAGAATTCCCAGGGTGAAGAAGAAGAAGAAGAAGAAGAAGAAGAAGAAGAAGAAGAAGAAGAAGAAGAAGCATTTACTACTTAATTTATCCCTTCAGTTGAATGAGGACTTTGTTAAATGCATATGTTTAGATAAAACTTTTTTCTCTGTTCCAGACGTATTATGCTGTCCAAGATACAAAAGCCTTCCAAACTGAGCAGGAGATTGACACCCTTCATGCCACTATTGAATGCGAACAACCCCAGCCGGATCTTTATAAGTAAGAATAAGTGGTGAATGATTATGTTCTTCTTTATGTTGCTTGTATTAAATTAACTTCAGTTCCCAAGTATTTTGCACATTTTCAATACTATGGGGGTTCAGTGCAACCAATAAAATAAAATAAAATAAAAATTAAAAAAATTATTTATGTTAAACACAGTTAAATAAACTATCGTATTGAAACATTGCTGAATTATATATACAGCACCAATCCAAAAAGTATAGGATGAATACACCAAATTCTGTGGGAAGGCAAAGTTATAATGTGTTCACTGGCTTTCTCAGCAGCTGATCACTTGCCAAACTGCTGTTTGCATAAAAGGGCCATTACTTGCCAGTAGATGGACAGAGGAGGTGGGGCGGGGGGGGGGAGCAGCTTAGTCTTACTGAATTTTTTCAGAGGATTTTTGTTTTTAGAAAAGCAAGTTGAATTGATTTATTTCAACATTTTGTTTCATCTGCTTGTTTTTGCCTGACTACCTCTTCAGCATTCTGATAAGAGGAACATTGTATTCCAACCTGTAGAGGTGCTCACCTATTAGAATTTTTGTCATTACTGTTTTTTGTACGAGTGCTTTCTGCCAAGTTTATAGTGTGGATATAGGGCCACGTGGTTTCCGTTTATGGCAGCAATTTCATTTCATGCTGTCAGATCATGCTTAGGATCCTAACTTGAAAATGTGCCAGGGTAGTAAGTTACAATTGAGTGCTGACTGTACGCCAGCATCTATTCATAATTTTGATTATGGCTCAGAATATAGATCTGTCTGATGTTCACTGCATACATTCATAGGATATTTTTTTAAAGCCACATGTTGAAAGATATCCTAATTGTTTGCTTGGAAATTTTTGAATTTTATAATATAAAATCAAAATGAAATGGGAAGACTTCAGTTTAAGCTGAGTTAAGCCATGATTGTAGGCCATCCATAACTGGAAGTGAAATCAAGGTCATTTAGACACGCCTGCAAGAAATACATTCGAAACAGAGTTATTAGTTTCATCAGTTTCAAATGGGATTTATGTATTAATGGAGAGTTGCCTGTTCTGTGCTGATTCTCCGTGGAACTAAATCAGCTTAACTACAGCTTCCCCAGACTTGCTCTCACCATGCTTAACTAGTTCACTATGTTTGCCGTTCTAAGAAGGAAACAACATATAAACATTGGGATGGATCTTGAGTTTGTTTTCTGTGGGCGGGAGGGCTGTGTTCACACAATGCACCCCTACATGATTTGAGGAGATCCTGCATCATAACTCACTTCATCAAGTAGAATCCCTGCTTTTCTGTGCAGCATTTTCCAGGGACTAAAGGGACTGCCATCGGAAGGAGGGAGCAGGAGAGTTGTTTCCCCCAACCCTGTTGCATATGGCTAAGTCTGAATTCAACTCAGTCATACAGTGTACCTTGCAATGATTTGGTCTTGTCCCTGCGTGAGTGGCCTACTTTTCGGGCTACTGGCCTTAGGCTCATCCTCTGCAAGAAACCCTTCAGCTCCATTCTGTCCAAAATGCAGAAGAATGTGAGTTCAGAAAAAAAGGGCAAAAGGTGGGGGATGGACAAATCTGATTGGCTGCTGAAGAAGAGATTGTTAATGGAGGGTCTCTCTTTTTTTCTTACTGCTGTCCCTTTAAATTGCTTTTAACCAGGTTGTTGTTTTAATATGATTTGTTTAATTATCGTTTAGTATTCATGTTTTTAGTTGTACCTGGTTTTTCCAATCACACTGCAAGCCACCTGAGATCCCATGTATTCTCCCTAGGAGAATAGCAAGACATAAACATAAAATAATAAAGATAAATGATACTATTAAATTCAGTTAAGCATCATGTTTTCCCAAACTGAAGTTCATTCAATCCTATTCATCATCACTTTGCAATTGAAAAAGACATTTCAACCTGTTACATACATTGGTCTTAGAATAATAATAATAATCTTAGGACCCAGAGCTGGAAGGGACCCTTTGGATCACTGAGTCTATGTGCTCAGTTTTCCTAATGTGCACATTTCTTTAAGCAGTTTCTCCTAATTGTGTACATGATTTCCATCAACATGTGCATTTTGGGGCATATATTCCTCCAGTATGCTGTGATGGGTCATTGTTTTTGAGAGCTTTTAGTAAAATTCAAAAATGTGCATATTGAAGGGCAACTGTGTTTTGCTTTGCAGTGTATGAATTACATACATTCACTTGAAAATGAAAACTAAAGTAATATCTCCTTGTCTCTTGGCCTATATAAAAGTGAAAAGAGTGTATTGGGCCAAAGTATACTAACTGGTAGTAGATAGCCATGAATTTCTTTATAAGGAGCACTTAGTTTTAGAGAATAACATAATGGGATTGGGAAGCAAACACACTGAGAAAGGATAAGATATTCTTTTCTACATTTGTTTTTAAGGTTTTAAATGTTTTGACTACTTAATGGGTTTTGCTTTTTTTAATCTGTAATTTATTGCGTTTTCTGTATTACTCACCTTGGGTCCCCTCACAGGGAGAAAGACAGCATATAAATTATACTAAATACATTTTGAAAAATAAAATTAAAATGATAGGCAGGAACAAAGGGGGTTGTTTAGTGAGTGGGGTGGCAAGGACAAGGAGTGGAAATGAAAAACTAGAATGGAGAATAAAGATCATGGGTCTCTTTATCCATTCGTGCAAAATTTCTTTTGAACGAGTTTCTAACCTTCCCCATGATATCCTTTTAACCATTGCCTGAGAGAAGAGGGATACGATTGTTAAAGACATGGGACACGGTAATGGCAGGGGAAAGGAGAGTCCTCTCTAACAGATGCAGCTTATGGAGAGGGCAGTTATTTATCAGGAAATCTTACAGAATTTTTAAAAAGAGGCTTGTGTCATCAAGGCATGGTCAGGATAATAGATGTGGAATGAAAAGAGTCGATTCGGAATTTTTTTAAAAAAATTATTAGTTTTTTACCTTGCGCCCCTAGACAAAGTCTACTCGGGGCAGCTTACATACGTGATAAAAACACAACAATATAACAAACATAATAAAATCCTCCAAAAGCTGAAACCTTAACACTTATTTCTTAAACATTGCCAAGATGAAATAGGTGAGAAAACAAAGAATGAAGATCAGTTCATGGCCTTCTTCCCGATATGTGGAATCAGAAGGCAGGTATGAGCAGTCTTTGGTAAATGAAACAACCATATTCTTGAGGATTTTAAAAAAGAGTCAGATGTAGAGAAAGGGAAAGGAGTTTTAACTTCAGAAGCAGCTTCATTTATTGTTGTGTCCAGTTTGATACCATAGTGAGACATCCAAAGAAACAACTAAGGATACAAGCTTTAGAAGGAGGAGAAGGGAATGCCATGTGTTTTGAAAGGTGAATTTGTGATTCGTTTCCCTAGAGGCAGTAGCTGAAGCAATTTGCATTCATGTCTGTACAATTACTGGAATACTCTTCTCTGTATTCCTATAGGCACACTGATATTGAACTGTTTGCTTATATGTTTTCCTCTTGTAGATTTGTTGGCCGGATAAATGTTTACCATGATAGAAATGATCCTGTTGTAAGGTAAGAATTTGTGCATATACAGACATACATACCATCTATAACAAATAGTGTAGGATAATCCAGCAGTGCAGTCTTCTGTATGTCTGCTGAGGCGTTTGTCCCACTGAATTTGCAGGGTTTACTCCTAGCTCGGTGGTACAAGATTGCAATAATGTTTTGTAATCAGCCATTGTAATTGGTTTACATTTATTGTTGTTCACATTTTTCATCAGTATTTTTTGGGGGGGAGATGGGGGGAATATGTACTTCACAGAAGAGTGAAAGAAGATTAAATAGTCAAAGTAGTTGCTGGCTACAGTATGATTAAGCCAGAACTCTGATCAGTGCTAACACATGTGGCAAGATAAAAATATGGTTCAATATTGTGTTTTTGTCCCTATGAATTTATTGTCTTCTCATGAGGAATAAAGTATCTAAACTCATTGTCAGCCTAACTTGCAATATTTGTTGTGTACAGAGTGCTTCAGTTTGGACTGTTGTGGTATTTGTCACACGGTGTGTTAAAGCCATAGTACCAGCGTATAGTTTGCTCTCCAGCTGGGGCTCATTGGAGTGCCTCTTCTTCAACAAAGCAGAATTCTACATATGTAAGAAACATGTCCCTGTGTAAGAAGATCAAATATGAGATGGACTGACTCCCTGAAAGAAGCCAGAGGTTTTAGTCTACAAGAGCTGAGCAGGGCTGTTGAGGACAGGGCATTTTGGAGAGCACTTATTCATAGGGTTGCGATGAGTCGGAGGCGACTTGATGGCACATAACAACAACAAGGAAATGCAAGAAAGCAAAGTGGCTGTCCAACGATGCCTTACAAATAGCAGAAAAGAGAAGGGAAACAAAATGCAGGGGAGATAGGGAAAGTTACAGAAAATTGAATGCAGACTTCCAAAGAATAGCAAGGAGAGACAAGAGGGCCTTCTTAAATGAACAATGCAGAGAAATAGAGGAAAATAACAGAAAAGGAAAAACCAGAGATCTGTTCAGGAAAATTGGAAATATTAGAGGAAAATTTTGTGCAAAGATGGACATGATAAAAGACAAAAATGGAAGGGACCTCACAGAAGCAGAAGACATCAAGAAGAGGTGGCAAGAATACACAGAGGAATTATATCAGAAAGTTTTGGATATCCCGGACAACCCAGACAGTATAGTTGCTGACCTAGAGCCAGACATCCTGGAGAGTGAGGTCAAGTGGGCCTTAGAAAGCCTGGCTAACAACAAGGCCAGTGGAGGTGATGGCATTCCAGTCGAACTATTTAAAATCCTAAAGGATGATGCTGTTAAGGTGCTACATTCAATATGCCAACAAGTTTGGAAAACTCAACAGTGGCCAGAGGACTGGAAAAAATCAGTCTACATCCCAATACCAAAGAAGGGCAGTGCCAAAGAATGCTCCAACTACCGGACAATTGCACTCATCTCACACGCCAGCAAGGTTATGCTCAAAATCATACAAGGTAGGCTTCAGCAGTATGTGGACCGAGAACTCCCAGAAGTACAAGCAGGATTC